AGTTTTTAGGTAGTGGATGATGGGATCCATCCAAGTTGGTGATTTTTGTGAAGTTACCGGGTTGATGGTCGTGACCTCGGAAAGGGCAGTTGATGGTTGTTCTTGTTGGCCGATTTGGATATACTCCGCGCCTTCCATCCCGGTACTGGACGCAAGTCGAGATAAGGCATCTGCTTGAACATTAAGAGTTCGAGGGATGTGCTCGAGATCAACGAAGAATTTCGATAATTTTCGTTTGGCCAAAGAGAGATAAGGTGTCAACCGAGGTTCTTTGACTTCGTATGAACCATTGATTTGATTAACAAGGAGCTGGGAGTCTGAGAAGACTTTGAGGTGGGTCACGTTCATTGACTCTGCCAACTTCAATCCGGATAGCAGTGCTTCGTATTCGGCTTCATTGTTTGTTTCCGGAAAGAGGAACTTCACCGAGTGACAGAATAACCGATTTTCAGGATCAGCTAAAACTATCCCTGCACCTGCTCGGTTGGCTGTTGAAGAGCCATCAATATAGAGGACCCATGGTTGATTATTATAATGAACCGCGATGGCCGGGGTGAACTCAGCGATAAAGTCAGATAAGGCTTGAGCCTTAATTGCGGTTCTCGGTTGATAGTGGATATCGAATTGTCCGAGCTCAATGGCCCATTTAACCATGCGTCCCGAGGTGTCAGGTCGGTGCAAGATCTGCCGAAGTGGATACGAAGTGCGAACAGTTATAGAATGCTCTTGGAAGTATGGTCGTAATTTCCGAGCTGCCATCACAAGTGCAAACGCTAACTTTTCCATCGGAGGATAACGTAGTTCGGCATCGTGCAAGGCCTTGCTGACATAATAGATAGGTGATTGCAGCAATCCTTCTTCGCGTATCAAAACAGCGCTAATGGCAGTTTCACTAACTCCGAGGTATAAGAACAACATTTCCTCGGGTTTCGGGTTTTGCAAAGTCGGGGGAGAGATTAGCGTCTCCTTGATATTGTCAAGAGCTTTCTGGCATTCCTCAGTCCATTCAAAACGTTTCCCTTTCTTAATTGCTTCGAAAAAAGGCTTACAACGATCTGTAGACTTGGAGATGAACCGGTTGAGTGCAGCAAGTCGGCCAGTTAGGGCTTGAACACCCTTGACCGAGGTTGGGGGAGTTAGATCTTGGACGGCCTTTATTTTGGCCGGATTGGCTTCAATCCCACGCTGGCTAACCATATAGCCCAGAAACTTTCCGGATTCAACTCCAAAAGTGCATTTCTTAGGATTCAGCACCATGGAATAGGATCGGAGGATGGCGAACATGTCTCGAAGATGCGTTATATGATCAAAGGCGTGCACC